AGATGCTCTGTGTATTTAAAACAGTAATAATAAACCGTTACCTGGCAATCCGGTCAGTTACCGAAGCTGACTGCCTAGGAGTTGTAACTGCCAGATTGTGTATTGATACCGAGTCAACTACCTCCGTGATTCATGGTGTAGGTTAGCTAATTATGTGTAACATGTGTAACTGCTTATTTGTAGCTGCCCTCTACGACATTGCGTCCTGTATGTCGGACATACTGTGTGTCGACATGGCTAGGCGACATGTCGTGTGTCGTGTGATTGTTAATTGTCGCGATGTTGGTTGTCGAGGACCAAGCGGTCGACCATGCTCTATGATCGACTGTCGTCTGGCTATTGGTCGACCTTTGGGGAATTATGTGTCTCATAGTACAGTGATCGACTGTTGTCGGGCTATTAGTGATCGACTGTTGTCGGGCTGTTGATTGACCTGTGGGGAATTAAGTATCCTACAGTACACAAAACAATCTATGAGAGAAGCTAGACTCTCCCACTAGTTTCCAAGTTCAACTTTGTTATTTTCTTTTTCTCTTTTAAGAGGCATTAAAAGTTATAAATATATTATTTGTTGTCTCTTAATTAATATAAAACTATTTATTGTATCCAAATTTTCTAAATATTAATATATTTTTTAAATAAACACTTGTTTTTTTTTTTAGGATAGCGAGACAAAGGACGTGACTTACGGAGTTATGTAGAGAGGAGCAAATATAAAAGATACTCATAGTGGAAAATACAAACAAAAATTCAAACCTTACAACAACCACATTTATGTAAGGCCAACCAACTATCAACTATTAATTAATATTTTGCATTCTCCAAACCAACCCTTATCATTAATTACAAATTTTATAATTTAATAAACTTTATTCATTTAATTTTATTCACAACACTATAATTAAATTAAAGTGTAAGTACTTATTATAAAAAGTAATATTTAAAAATCAAAGTCTGAATTTATATAATTGATCAAACAAATAAATTAAAAATTTTAATTATTCAAATATGAGAGACACATTTTTTATAATTTCAAATTCTTGAAATTTCACTTCTGCCAAAATGATATTCAACGGAAATTGCTAACAGATATAAAATGACCCCCTTTTGAATTTTCAACCGTTATTTTTTCAAACTCTACATAAAAATAATGTTTTTATTAATAAATAATTGTTATAAATAACTCATATTTAGAATTTTTTTTATTGGCCCTTACAAACAAATTGATTAGTATTCCTTTCGAAAAACATAAAATTCGAATTTAAAGACTACAAATAATTTCATTTATAATTTATGATTCTTTCCATGTAACTATTTATGAGCATTTAGAATAATTGAATAAGTTAATTTAATATTGGCATAATAGGATGAAGATGTAATGGACAGAAATTCTGATTGAGCAAAGTTTAAATATAATTTTAATCTACGCGAAATTAAAATTTATTTTTATTGTAAATTTTGATAAATTATGGTTTTTAACTTTTCTTAAAAATAAATAAATTCTTATTAACTTAATTATTTTAAGTGTTATTATGTATTAAATAATATTTTAAATTGTTTATACTATTTAATACCTTATAATTAAAAAATTAGTCCCAAACTTTATTTAACACATAACATGGTAGTTTATAAATTTTAAAACTTGAAAACCTAAGAAATAAAGTGGAGGGTTTTAAAGCTAAACCCTTTCCAGCACATCCTATGGGAATTATTGAAAACCTTTCCACCCTGACTTGATTTCGACAATTTTATTTTTATTTTCACCATAATAAACAACACCAAAGGCAATGCAATTTATTTTTTATTTAAATACTATTTTTTTTTCTTTTCTTTTAATTTTTTTATTTAAGTTTTAATTTTTGTTAATTTTATTTATTAAAGATTTTTTAATAGCACGGTTTAAATAATTCACAATATATAAATTGTGTATGAGTTCGTGGTATTTTATTTTTAAAATTTTTAAATTTTTTTTAAAACGTAAGCTTTAATGTCATATTTGTTGGTATAAAATTTTTGTAGGTATTAAAATATGATTATTCTTAGTTTCCTCGCTTCTTGAAGACGAATTTTACAGGAGTAAATCAACAACATTATAGCTCCTAACATAACACAGTAGAGGCTGCACTGGAACAAAAGTTTTAATATAAGTATTTTATTGTAGAAAAAGTTGTTAAAAAAACATCGTTAATAACGGTAGAGGATGGTGTTGCGTGTGACGGACTCTATATATAGGGTTCATGCAGAGGCCAAAGAGAGTTAAGAAATTGCAGCTTGAAGAGAATGGCCTACACGCAAGCTTTCTTGCAGTTCAATGTCCTAACTTCTCCTCTTAGAGTTAGGCCACAGTGGGGAGTGGGGACCACCAAAGCAAAGCACATTGTGTGCAAGGCAGAGAAGGATGATGTGGAAGAGGGTGCAGCCACCACCCTTAGTCATGTCTCTCGCCGATTGGCCCTCGGCACTGCCCTCATCGGCGGTGCCGCTGCTGCTGGTGGCTCCAAGGTCTCACCTGCTGATGCTGCTGATGCTGCTGATGCAGAACTCTCTTTCCAGGAACCTGGTGGTATTTATTTTACCCTTCATCACTTTTTTAAACATTTCATTTTTTGCATGAAATGTTTCTTTTCACGTGTCATTTGTTCAAATTCTTCGTCTGTCAAAAACAAGTTCTCCATTTTGAATCAAACATGAATTTTTCACTGTATCACTTCTGCATTAAACACAATAAGAGTCTCGTAATCACTCAACATGACATGTAACGACTTTACTCTGTAGAAATTACCACATTACCAGCAATAACTTGCGAGGAATATCCTTCATCTGTTATCGATGCTCTTTCTCTCAAGCGAAACAGTTTTCCCAAGGGCTTCGTTTTCGGGACAGCATCCGCGGCCTACCAGGTATCCTCATAATATCTCTTATTCTTTTATGAGAAAACTTTGAGATTTCAACTTCATACGATTTTGTTACGTTGTTTATATGTATACCCATATATATAGTACGAAGGAGCGGCGTCTGAAGGTGGAAGAAAACCTAGTATATGGGATGTATTCACTCACAAGTATCCAGGTTCTTTTTTCTACCTTTCTAAATATAAATCCAACTAAAACAATTACAGATTACTTTTTATAACTTAAAAATGTATCTGTTTCTAAGTTTTTCAAAAATTATATATATGAACTTAATAAAAATTGTAGATTATAGTCTGATTTTATAAACATGTAATGTTGCAGAGAAGATAAGGGACAGAAGTAATGGAGATGTAGCAATTGATGAATACCACCGTTACAGGGTAAAGTCCAATATCTTAATGATGACAGTCTAGGATGAATGAAGAAACCAATTATTTTTCTTCATCAAATCAATTAATTAAATTTTTGGACGTTTTTTACATTTATATAACAGGAAGATATTAAGATAATGAAGGATATGAATCTGGATGCATACAGATTCTCCATCTCATGGTCTAGAATAATACCAAGTGAGATAAAAGTTGATGAACTATTATTATTCTTTTTGTTATGATTGTTGTTGGATCTTTCATTGTTAATGATTTCAATCTTAATTTGAAATTATTGATATATAGATGGAAAGGTCGGTGAAAACGAGGAGGGTGTAAATCAAGAAGGAATCGCTTATTACAATCGCCTCATTGATCATCTCATAGCCAACGGTGAATGTCCATGTGTTCTTCTCTTGGTTTTTCATACATTTTATAATATATTTTTTAAGTGAATGAGATATTGATTTAAATATAAATGTTGCAGGTCTAAAACCATATGTGACACTTTTTCACTGGGATCTTCCCCAAGCTTTAGAAGAGGAGTATGGAGGTTTTTTATCCCCTAATGTTGTGTAAGTTGTACAATTTTTTTTTTTTATATTCAACTCAGTACTATTACAAATATGTGTATATATATGATTTGTTTTTTTTTGAGATAATATAATCTTTTAAGAAAAAAACATAAATTATGATGACAATTTTTTTAAAACAAAGTTACCCCTTATTAAGAAAGAGTACAATGCATTTTTTTTATTTAAAATAAAAATTTAGGTAAAATATTAAAGACCAGTGTTTATTGACATTTATGGCTAACCTAATTTTGTTCATAGAGATTCTTAGAAAAATATTACCAGGTTTTGAAATTTTAAAATTTTAAATATTGATCTCATAAGGTTTGATATTAAGCTATAGCTAGGGGGATTGTATACTAATTGTGAATTTAAAAATATTTCAGGAGTGATTTTCGAGACTACGCAGAATTTGTTTCAAATACTTCGGAAACAGGGTGAAACATTGGATTACCCTAAACGAACCATGGTCTTATAGTAATAATGGTTATGCAGTTGGAACCTTTGCACCAGGTCGATGCTCTGAATGGCAAGATTCAACTTGTCTCGGAGGTGATCGGAACAGAACACATATATAGTTACACATAATTTACTACTTGCTCATGCAGTGCTTGTAGATCTGTATCAGGAAAGAGTTCCAGGTTTGTTTAACCTTAATGAGAAACTTTCAAATCTTTATGGTTTATTTCTATAATGCCACGAGGGTTCAAGGACTCTTATATATATATAGCTCTTTTACTTAATAACGTTAAAAACACTTGACACAGGAATATCAAGAAGGAGTGATAGGCATAACACTTATTTCTCATTGGTTTGAGCCATATTCAGAAACTGAATCAGATAAAGATGCTGCTAAACGTGCACTTGACTTCATGTTGGGTGTAAGTGCTTTAACTCTGCATAAGAATATGCATTCTCAACATTCGATGTTTTGATATGGTAACAATGAATTAGGTACATGAGAACCATGACATCTGGAAAGTATCCAAAGAGCATGCGTTTTCTAGTTGGTAATCGATTACCAGAGTTCTCAAAACAAGAATCAAAACTTTGCCAAATCATTTGATTTTATTGGAATAAACTAGTAAACCACTCTTTGCGTTGCGGATCAACCCCATGTTGAATCCTTCTACAATTGTTATATACAAGATCTCATGTCCGTTATTCAAGTGAGGAAGCTTCTATCCTTTCAATTATTTAAATATATGTGTTGAATTTCTAATACAACACTTTTTGTTTTTTTTCATCCGTAGCCGAACGCAATGGTATTCTCATAGGCGGAAACCGGTGTGTATACGATTATGTCGTTCGTTTTAATATTATGATTTCATATGGTTTTATGTAACTTTATATTTATATTTGCCAGACCGCTCTGATTGGCTATATGTTTGTCCGAAAGGAATCAAAAAGTTGTTGCCTATACCAAGAAAGTAACAACCTTTCCCCTGCCCGTTTGAATCCCACAATTCACAGGATTCCCTGTGATTTATATAACTGAAAATGGTAATTATATCAAAAGCAATTTTATTGTCTTTAAAGAAAATATGAGAATAATTATTTGGAATTTTTTTTTTTTCAATTATAAAATTTTCTTTTTTTTCTAACGTGTTGATGTATTTTACTTTCAATTTATAGGAAGAGGCAATGAGGTCAGTCAAGACAAGGAGACACTTGAGGAAGCTCTTATAGATATTTATAGAATCGATTTTTATTATCGTCATCTCTATTATCTACTTTCAGCAATAAGGTAATGATTTATTTTTCACATATTTTAAATTTGTTTCTAACTCTAAATTTAAATATATTTTTTTGACTTTATAAGGGACGGCCATGTAAATGTAAAAGGATTATTTGGCGTGGTCACTTTTGGCACAATTTTGAATGGGCGGAGAGATGGCTAGTTAATAGGATTTGGACTGAATTATGTGGACAGACAAACTCAGAAGCGATATCCCAAACTTTCAGCAAAGTGGTTTAAGAGTTTTCTTCAGAAAAAGTTATTAGGATAATTGCAACGCACATCTGTTACAATAGTTTGGGAGATAATCTCTTATGTAATGTTGCCTATTAATAAATTTCAGTGAAGAGTGAAGTGTGTCAGCTGTTAATCTTTTTATTGATGTAATGTTTTTTTTGTTAGTGAAATGTGCTTTGCTTGTTTTTTATTTTACAAGAAAACATATTTGTTTAATTTTTTATTTGTCATATTGGCTTATTATCAGTTGTATTTTTCTTTCACAAAAAAAAAAATTATATTAAGTGCATCATTTGAATACTTTAAATCATGTATAAATAAATATGTAAGATAAAAAGTAGGGACATTCTTTTTTATTTAAGTCATGTATAAATGAATATCTAGACACAATTATATACAAAATTAATACCATTCTTAACTCAAAATCTTAAAATAATAGATTAATTTTATCCTTAAATATTGTTTCACTTTTTATTTTTAACTAATATGAGGATTTCGATTCACGCTTAGATTCTCAATCTATTTATATCTAATATATCTAAATCTCAATCTACTTTGGTCTTGAATCATCTATGCTCATTAATCAAGCACAATCCTGCATATTTTGCTATTGAATACTAGATACGTTATATACCTCAAAACGATATACTAAAGTAACAGTGTTCATACTTCTTAGATATTCTAGATATTATATATGTACGCTTACTTGTATAAGACCCTCAAATATAATCTCTTTAACTTAATAAGATGACAAATTTAACAATTAAATGTAGAAAGGTTATGTGTGGAATACAGAAAAGGAAAGTCATTGCTAAAAAGTCGAATGACTTTATCCGAAACACGTTTTATCTTGAATGTCCAAACACATATTTTTACAATAATAATATTTTGAAAAATACTATTTGTATTAATATAAGGGGAAACAAAATTATAATTATTTTGTGAAATGAAAATTAAGTGCATTATTACTGCAGTATTAATTGTTTTCATTGATGATAAGGCCCCCCCAATAGACTACTGAAGTACATTTTTGTTTTTCTTCCAAACTTCTCAGCTAAACATCACACAAAACTTGAAGGAGAAGGGAAAGAAATTAAAAACCAACTAAAACTCAAAAGCTTACTTAATCAAAACTTCTGTTTATCAACTTGAGTATCTAAAAAATGGAAAATGAATAATTTTGTTTTCTATTTAAACCTTAAAAACACATTTTTAACTTCTTTAACTTTGTAATTAAGAGAATAATGAAATTAAAAAATGATGCATTAAAATATTCTAATCCGTGTATATGAAATATCAGATGATAAATGTATATGAAAAATGTAAATGCAAATAAGTAGTTTTGGAAAGTATATCTCTATTTTAATATTACAAAAATAAAACGATCTCACTTGATAAATCTTGTATTATGATTACGATCTCTTCAAATTTAAAATTACTATCACAATTATTCTTTAGAAAATATTGAAGGATTATTATTGCATTTGTTTTTTAACCTTTAACCGGTTTTCTTCCCATAAGTGAGTTTGGTTAGGATGTGGAAATATTGTAGGTGTAATGAGAAAGCCCCACCCTACAATTGTAGAATCTACAAATTTTTGGTGGCACATTGAACACACTTATAAATTGCCTTAATATCCTACTCTATATATAAGTTAACGCTATATAAATGCGTCTCCATGGTCTCTCTCTATGTTCTACATATGTAGTCATCCAAATACTTTACTTTTTAAATCGATTTTGTGAAATTGAGTTAGAATTAAAATTCATTTCTTAACATGATATCAAAATCATAAAATTATTGTTATATTTATTTATATATTATAAAATAGTCACACACATAAATCTCCACAATAGTAAGATATTGTCCATTTCTAATTAAGCTCTCACATATTTGTTTTTTATATTACTTCAAAAATCCTTTTTTTTCAAAAAATGTGTTATGTGTATATAAATAAATATCTATTTATAGTTTTATTCCTAATAATAATATTTTCATGGAGCAGAAACAATGAGTTACTTTTTTTTCCTTGTAAGTTGAAACAACTGAATTGCCTCCATCCAATATAAAAGCAAGTAACAAAGGAGAAGCTGTATACACAGTCACCGACAATAATCTTAATGGTGCAACCGCTACCATAAAACCAGGGAATGTTTTTTTAACCATGTGGTACAAAAAATTGATTTGGTTTATTCAAATTGTAATGAACAATAAAATCTAGTATTTTAATTTATAAAATAAAAACCTTAATATCTAAAATAATAATAAAAAATAAAAATAAAAACAATGATCGTAGCAATTATTAATTATCAAAATTGTGTTACAACTTTGTATATAGATTAGGATATCTCAAATGTCTTGTTTATTTATTTTTTGTTTTTTCACCTATAAAAAAGCACGAAGCAAAATGTAGACAAGATGGACAAGCAAGACGTGTAGAACTAGCAAGAAGGTGCAGGAGTTGTGGTGGATATATATATATATATATATATATATATAGATATATATATATATATATATATAATATATAATATTATATATATCCTGAGAAAAATATTAATCTTTTATATCTAATATTGAACATGACATGTAACGAGTTTACTCTCTTGACTACAGTAGCAGTTAGCCCATTACCTGCAATAAATTCTGAGAAATATCCTCCATCTGTTGTCGATGCTCTTCTCTCAAATCCGAACACTTTTCCCAAAGGGCTTCGTTTCGGGGACAGCATCCTCGGCTTACCAGTATCCAAATGCTTTCTTATATATTAAATTGTGTTTGTTATTTCCGTTGAGTCTTTTATTGTTCTGGTAGTGGTACTGTGCATTGGAACAGTAATTTTGATCTAGGGGGTTCTATTTTTGGGGTTTTCGTTTTGGGTTAACCGGGAACCCTCTATAAGGGCTTTCCAGTATCAGAAACAAAAGGTGTAGAAGAAATTAAGAAAATAACAACAGCAATTTTACTTTTCTCTCAAATATAGATTACATACCTTTACCGTGAATCTTCTTTTCTTCCGATCTCCTTCTGATCTGCCACCCATGACCATCTCGCCGGAATACTTTCCTTCACCATCAAACTGACCGGAACGGAAATTCAAAGGTGTCTCTGTCGCTCATCGTCCTTGCAAGAGTCCACACGGGATTTAAGATCAACGTTCTCAGACACTTTCTGATTCTAAAGATACTTTGCAAAGGAGAGACTTAAGTCTCGATACTAGGCCACAGGTTTGGGCCTTCTGTTGGGCCACTGTTTTCTTTATGGTATCAGAGCAGGTCTTGGACCTGTTCTACGTTTTCCGCTGCTCGTATCAGTAATTCTTGATTCCTCATCCGCTTCTTTCGCCATTCGCTTTCATGGAGATACGGATCAAAATAAAAATCCCCACCAGTCCCTATTATTTGCATCCAGGGGAGAACCCAGGCGCTTCCCTTATATCACAGATTCTTAATGAGTCAAATTATACATCTTGGAGTAGAAACATGAGGAGAGCCCTTCTTTCAAAGAATAAACTCAAATTTATAGATGGCGGGATCACAAAGCCTCAAAGAAGTAATAGTCTTTTTGATTCTTGGGAAAGAAGTAACATGATGGTATTATCTTGGATCACCAAGACACTTTCACCCCAAATAGCTGAGAGCGTGATTTATGTGGAGAATGCCCAAGAACTTTGGGAAGAATTAAAAGAGAGATTTTCAAAGGGGGATCATTTCAAGCTTTCAGACCTTCTTCAGGAAATTCACTCTATAAAACAAGGTGAAAAAACGAAGCATAAATCAATACTTTACCGATTTGAGATTTTGTGGGAGGAGTTGGAATTCTTAGGCATAGTCCCAGTTGTAACTGCAAGTTCCTTTGCCAGTTGTGATCTATCTAAGGCTCACATAAATATAGGGACATGGAGCACGTTGATTGCTTTTTGAAAGGTGAACGAGTGTTATAATACTGTCAAGACTCATATATTACTCATGGAACATTTGGCCCAGCATTAATAAAGTGTTTCACTATTATACACAAGAAGGCAAGGAAATATAATAAGGTGATGGGAAAATACTAGCCAAAACACCACTGACAAACAAAAATCAATGGAAAACCAACCAGAATTTGATGAACAAGGGGCGTGGAAATACACCAGAAAACAAGGAAGGGAAGAGGAAGAAAAATCCCAATTATGGGAACAGTGTTCCCACTGCCCAAAGATGAATCATACCATTGATGAGTGCTATTCTAAGCAGGTTTCCACCATGGTACAGAAAATGACGGAAACTGTGAGACTGAGCATGGACAAAGGGAATGGGGTTCTACAAATGATTGCTCTGCCTTCCTCAGGAACTTCAAGCTAATCAGCAAATGCTTCTTTCTCCTTTCCCTTTTCTTATTCAGAATCCATTCACGCATGAACCAGATGCAAAGATACTAAAACTATGGACAAAGCTGATAGCCCATAACACAGTGGTAGTCAAATAAAGAAAGCCAACACAGAGGACTACACAAGGTATGACTTCGTGGATTATAGGACACAGGGGCCACAGATCACGGGACCCATGACAAAAGTCAGTTTACCACCTTTTATAAAATCAACCCCATATCTGTAAAATACCTAATAACTCTTTAGTTACTGCCCCGATGCAGGGACCATCTATTTCACGACGGATGTGTGATTTTTAATGTTTTATATATACCTGAATTTAGTTTTAATCTCATAATCTTTCAAAGTCTAACTAGAGAAATAAAATGCACCCTAACTTTTCGTATAAGATGTGATGAATTCAGGACCATGTACATTGAAGATGATTGGATATGCTAGTGTGTCAATGGACTCTACCACTTGCAGACTTTTGGAAGGAACAATATTTCTAGTTGTATATTTTCCTATGAAAACAAGGAAAAAGTGTTAGTCATGGCACGTAGACTAGGCCATCCTGGACACAAAGGGGTGGAGAAATTGTGTAAAAATTGTTCCCTTATATTCAAATTTCGACTGGGGGGGGGGAACCAATACTTGTGACATTGCCACTATTGCTAAAAAACACAAAATTCCTTTTCTAAGAGCATACTTGTCTACTAACTGTTCTGATTAATACATTGTGAATTGGGGTCCTATTTTACTCCTTCGTGCATGG